TCAGGAGGCAGCAACAGGAGGAGGCGGGTTCACCAGGTTGGCCCGCCACGCTCGTGCAAGCCTCACGTCAGCTCTCTTTAGCTTTACGGACTCGGGGAACCCTGAGGATTCTGAGTTTGGGACAAGCGGGAAGGATATGAGGGGGTCCCGCTGTGCAAGGGAACTGATGGGGAAGAGGCTGGAGAGCCCAGCTTTGTCAAGCAGGCGGCGGAAGAGGGCCACAGACAAGGACTTTTGTCGAGAGAGTGGGACTCAAGGGGCTGTTCCGACAGAATGTGGGGAGGCCAGTGGTTGCAAGAGCTGCAAAGGACCCGGGAAAACCAACAGGCCTGAGAGAACTGGGCCAGGCCAGAAAAGGAAACATCGGGAGGCAGTAGAAACCTCTCTCCTCCATCACGACCAGTTTAAAAAGGGCCACAGGCCGGGCAAAGATTCACTCCTTACCCAGGACCTGACTCTATTACAGAATGACTGCTCTTGGACCAAAACCAGGGCTTCCTTCAGTTTCCATAAGAAAAAGATCGTGACCGCTGTGTCAGAAGTGAGCAACAACACCACTACCACTTCTCCCCCGGGGTCCTTCCTGTCCGAATATTCAAACCCTCCTGTCCTGAACAAAACAACAAGCAGTGCCCCATCCCCTTGGCACTCCTCTTCCATGTATTTGCTCACCCCCTTAAAGACACTGCATGTCGCAGACCAAAAGGCATCTGATGCTGAAAAGGTTTATAGGGAATGCGACCAGGAGGGTCCTATCCCCTTTAGCGCTTGCCTTTCCACGGAGGAACTGGAAAGCTGTGAGAAGATTGGGGAAGGAGTGTTTGGGGAAGTGTTTCAGAAAACTGCTAATTGTACACCAGTAGCCCTAAAAATCATTGCTATTGAAGGACCGGATTTAGTCAATGGAGCCCACCAGAAAACTTTTGAGGAAATCCTCCCAGAGATCATCATCTCCAAAGAGTTGAGCCTCCTGTCTGATGCTGCATGCCACCGCACAGAAGGCTTTATCGGGCTGAACTCAGTGCACTGTGTTCGTGGACCTTACCCTCCCTTGCTCCTCAAAGCCTGGGATCACTATAACTCAACCAAAGGGTCTGCAAATGACCGGCCTGACTTTTTCGACCAAGACCAGCTCTTCATTGTGCTTGAATTTGAATTTGGAGGAACTGACTTAGAGCAAAGGAGAAAGACGTTGTCCTCCATAGCTACTGCAAAGAGCATCCTGCACCAGCTCACCGCATCCCTTGCTGTTGCAGAGGCATCGCTGCACTTTGAGCACCGAGACTTACACTGGGGGAATGTGCTGTTAAAGAAAACCAGCCTCAAGGAAGTCCACTACACCCTCAGCGGGAAGACAGGTACTATCCCCACCTGTGGGCTGCAAGTCAACATCATTGACTACACCCTGTCGCGCTTGGAGCGGGATGGGGTCGTGGTTTTCTGTGACATTTCCAAGGATGAGGACCTTTTTACAGGGGAAGGTGACTACCAGTTTGAGATCTACAGGCTAATGAAGAAGGAGAACAACAACTGCTGGGGTGAATATCACCCTTACAGTAATGTGCTCTGGCTACATTACCTCACAGATAAGATTCTGAAGGAAATGGTCTTCAAGAGGAAATGTAACACCTCTGCCTTGAAGCAAATAAAGAAAGACATCGTACATTTCCATGGGACAATGCTGAACTTCAGCTCTGCCACTGACCTGCTCTGCCAACACAGTCTATTTAAGTAAGTCAAAGGTGCCTTACCGCCCCAAAGGGAGAGAGACCACTAGCCTTAAAAGCCCGCAAAGCCCGCAGTGTTGTTTTCGATCTCTATCCCCAGGCCAGGGTGAAATTCCTATTCTAATCAGTTTTTCAAACAAGAATTTTTTGTTTCCAAGTGGAAACTGAAATGTTTGTGGAAATCTTTAAACAGCAAACATTCTTTAAAAATGAACTACATGTGAGAACCAATGTTTACAACTTTTAAGTCCTCTTTCTGTCAGCAGAGTCTATTCTGTAGGTTTCTCTCCATTTTTTCATTTTTGAGCCTTGACACTTTATGTAGCCTAAGGGGGGAAAAATTCAGGAAAGCCCAAGGTCTCAGCTGTCACACTAATCAGAGCCTATAGGTATTGGCAGGCTGGCTTTGGGAACCATTCTACAGCTCAGGAGTCAACCGAGGGCAAAGAGGCAGTAGCAAAGCAGAGACCAAGACAGACAGACTGGAGGGAGAGAGAAAAGGAAGATGGTAAGATAGTTTATAGGAGACATGCAAGAAATGCCATATATTTATCAAGCTCATTTGCCAGTCACAGAGAAGTAGGATTTAACAATTTTCAACAGGAAAATAAATGTCTCCATGGCTACTAAAAAAGTTTTGAGTTTTTGCTTATTTTTTTATCAAAGGAAGTAAACAAATATTGCTTTAAGAGGTGGGTGGTTGATAATCCTTCTGAACATGACTTTGATAATTTACTCTTAATGTGTTCTCAGGTTAACTAATCTTGTTTTTACTCTTTTTCTAGAACTCTAGTTTTTATACCTTTAAGAATCTGTAGTCACTCTGAAAAGAGATACAATTGTGATAGAGTCAAGAACCGCCTCTGAGTACCTGTGTCTTTGTCAGGTTCTTCACTCTTATTAGCCGGAGCCCTTGTATTTTAATTGGAACACAGATTTGCAGCTGGAATTCGGCTCCAAAGAAGTTTTCTCCATGGATCTGCAAAGAGTAGGAAGTCAGAGTTGGTGTTGCTTTGCCACTTGTAGCTTTGCAATAATAAGTACTAAGCACTTACATTGAAGGAGAATTCTTTGTGGTCAGAAAGCCCCTGGCTTGTGTTCATGTACATCACTGCTGGTCTGCAATTGAGAGGACATGTGTTAGCCTCAAGGCCCCTTTGTTTTAAGTGAACCTGAATGCTACTAGTTGGGTACATTAGGACAGAGAGTACCAGATCCTTAAGAGGAATCAAAGCTAAATATTAACATGTAAGTTGGTAGTAGGGCAATTGGGAGCGGGCAGAATATTTGAATAGTATATATTTGTGCTGGTTCTTTATCTAATTATCATTCTTCAGAGTGGCCTTACTTTTCTCCTTCCTTTCTTTTCAATCCCATAACTCCTCTCTTCTTCCCTTCTTAGCATCATGTCAGGACCCTTTTGAAGCAAGACCAGTTGACAGTACTACTTTGATTACTACCATGGGCTTCTAGGAACCTCTGTTAGTGTCCTAGAGATCGATGGGAGCCTGGGTTTTAAGCAGCCTCTTCTCAAAGAAAAGCAGTCCCCATATCCAGCCTGCCCACCAGTTCCACCCACAAGAAAGAATGCTCCAAACTGTCCCCCAGGTGTTGGCCCCTTGGAGGTGCTTACTTGGGAAGAACTGCAATGAAGGCGTGCTTGAAGTGAAGTCTGTGGGTCTCTCTGACCAAAGAGCTTCTTCCATTGGCACTAAGAAATAAGAGTGTCAGTGCACAGCACACCTGCTTTGTACATATGGCTTTGTACAACTATACCTTGGCTTCCCAGGGTCATCAGGGGTCAGATAAGAAAAGACTCTTGGAAATAAGCAGAGTACAGAAGAGTTGCTAGAAGTCCAGACTTGGAGAAATTGATTTAGAAGGGTTTCTCAACCTCAACAATATTAACATTTTGGGCCAGATAATCCATTGTGAGAGGCTGTCCTGTGTATTTTAAGATGTTTAGCAGCATCCCTGGTCTCTACCCACTAGATGCCAGTAGGACCCCCCCATGTCGTGTCAGTCAAAAATATCTTCACATAGCCTTGCCGGCGTGGCTCAGTTGTTGAGGGTCGACCTATGAGCCAGGATGTCACGGTTCAATTCCTGGTCAGGGCACATGCCTGGGTTGCTGCGCACTCCATCCCCAATGTGGGGTGTGCAGGAGGCAGCCAATCAATGATTCTCTCTCATCATTGCTGTCTCTCTCTTCCTCTCTGAAATCAATAAATATATTTTTTTAAATACATATCTTCAGGAATTGCCTCTGAGGGACAGTATCACCTTTATTTGAGAACCCTTTCCCAACACCCCATCCTACCCCCAAGCATAGAGGTTTTGCAGGTGAAAGCTTCCCAAAAATTAAATGAACCAGAATTAGAACTCCAGTCCAAGGCTCATTTTTCCACACTCTACCATAGTTTTACTTTGTGTGTCAATAAAAGAATATTTAAATATATTTGATAACCATGGGGACATAGGTGCCTTCTCTGGGCTCACTGAAGTCCCCTTCTCGGGCACGTGGGAGGAAGATTTCTTCCAGGGCCATAGCCTGGGTCTGCTGTGGCACAGACACTACCTACTTTGTGATTGTCACAGTGATGTCAGCTGTCCTGTTTGGGAAGGCACTCTCCTCTAGCTGCCAAACTACTGAAAAGTTTGCCTATTTTTTAAAAAAAGAGAGAGAAAAAAGTCACTTCTCTATACCACTCACAATTCAAACTACTTCCTACTAACAAGACAGACCTGGGAAATAATTTATATTGCTCGTATTTTTGTATCATAGCAGGCTTCCACATTTGTTATTCTCTGTCACCTTCTTATTCCCCTTTACAACTGAGCAAACATATCAGAGATTCTCACAGCACAGAGATCCTCCGTGGCACATCAGGGACTCACCTTAGGACTAATAACTTTGGGTCTGATGACCCTTCCATACTACGTGCTATTTCACTCTGTAGTGAGCCAACAATTTGGCTGTATTCCCCCACCCACCTCTCCCTACATTCAGAGCGGACTTGGTAGTTCTAAGCACAGCTATGGATTAACTGTACAGTGAAAGGAAGCATGGGACCACAACTGAGATTCCAATGAGACCAGAAAGTAGAAGACACCAACTCCAGGGTAGTGAGACAAGTCAGCCAATCAAAACACTCACAGATGCCCTCCCGAGTATGGGGTGACCAATCTTGCACTTCATGACCAGGACAGAAGCAGCTGGCTTAGGGTCATCACACTGAATATTTGGGGAAGGGGGCTGTTAACAAAGAAAAGACTGTTCTTAAAAAGGTAAAAAAAGAAAAAGCAGTTTTCTCACACCAATTTAGCATCATTTGCTCATTTTTTTTCACATTCAAGACACCTTGCCCAGAGCTGAGGACACAAATCAGACTTGGTCCCTGTCTTCCTCGCAAGCTGGGCAGGAGGGCTCAGTGGTAGATGGTTGAGGAATTTAAATACAAGGCCTAAGGAGTGGTTCTGTGAGAGGTACAGAGAACAGCAGTAGAGGAAGATGAATTTCAACTTGGATGAATGAAAGTCTTCCTAGGGAAGGAGACATTTGAATTGGGCCTCGGGCCAATGCAAATTTAACATAACAGATGGACTAGAAGGCTAGCATGAGCCCCAGCACCACCACATCTGGTTCCTCATCGGGACCACTGAATACAGAGAATAATTTGAGCATCTGCTTTTTTTTATTTTTTTAACTACTATTTTCTTAATTCTCCAAGGAGGGTGCATCACCAGTTCCATTCTGGATGCTCAACAGATCATTTCATTCTTTCCATATAATGGATGCTGTCTTAGACCAAATAGCCTAAGACCTTCGGGGACAGACCGTAGTCTGACAAAGCCGGGTTTATTGATTCATTATAGAGGAAAACTTCACTGGTGTGTCTTACCAAACAAAGGAAAAGACAGTTACTGAAGGACTCCGGGGAAGGGTGGTGGTGAGGTGAGATGTCAATGAAGCAGTGTTTTGATAGGTTAAAAATAAAGCAGGGCTGTTGTGTAAAAGGGTCACTCAACATCAGGTCTGCACTGCGGAGTGGACCCAGGGACCCATGTCCTTGGGAACTATTCGGATGGATGTGGACAGTTTTGTCCAGAAATGCTGTATTTGCAGCTCCGTACCGCAGGAGGATATAGGCTGCTTCTCTTTGTCAAAGTGACAGATTCCCCAGGCAAGCGTGAGGTGGTTTCATAATTACAGATACAACTTCAAACAGCAAAGATTCTGATTTCCAAAGCCTTTAGAGAACACAGTTGCTCAATGTTATGATACTTTATAATAGCTGCAGGGTGTCCTTGGGAAAATTACCATTTCCTAGTATCTTGCAGCTGGCTTCCTGTCTGCAATCCCAGGCTGATGAATGGCAGGGCAGACTTTACATTTTAGTCCCAGCTAAGTTATTAGAGATTACTTCTCTCTCAGAACCTGGGTTAGGAAAGGCTGCGGCAGGGAGGAGTGATTGTGCGGCAAATGGCACCACTGAAGGTTTGTGAGACAGAATGGCATGACTGGATCCATGACATGTAGTTGGTTGGAGGGGCTTCATCCAGTTAATTTATTTTTTAATATATTTGAATTGATTTCCAAGAGGAAGGGAGAGGGAGAGCGAAACATCAATGATGAAAGAGAATCATTGATCCGCTGCCTCCTGCACACCCCCTACTGGGGATCAAGCCCACAACCCGGGCATGTGCCCTGACCGGGAATCGAACCATGACCTCCTGGTTCATAGGTTGACACTCAACCACTGAGCCACTCCAGTTGATTTAAATCATTTGTTGAATGGACCAAGATGAAGCTGGAGGCAGTTTGGAGGTTGCCATAGAAAAAGAGAGTATGCCGGGAGGAAAAGCCATGAGTGGCATGTTTCCCAAACTGCTGTCATAGTTACCTTTTGTATCCTCTTAAACTGTAAGTTTCTGGGGTAAGTCAAAGCCATGTTTGTCATGTAGGAATCTTCCCCAGAGTTAGTTAGGCTGATGTTCATTGTCAGCTCCTTTGTGACACCCACCACCAATTCCGTCCTGCACAGGGTAGCAAATAGATAAGTGTTACCAGTTTATTCTGTAAAAACCGTGATGCAGTGCAATAACACATTCAACTCACTTCTTAGGTAAATTGCCTAAAGGATATATTTAGCCTAGATTTTCTTCCCCTTAACATAAGCAAACACCTGGACCTCCAAACCCACCTCAGTTGCTGTGTGAGATAATAATAATGGCTACCATTTATTAAGTCCTTTCCATGTGCCAGGGACTGTGCTAAATGTTTCACATGCTCAGTTTATCCTCATAATAATCCTATGAAATAGGACGGTTATTCTTCATCTTATAGAGAAGGAAACAGAAGCCAAAAGAGGCTCACTAATTTGCCTGAGATCTAGCAACCTCAAAAAGGAATTGGGAGAATTGGATCTAAATCCTCTTTCTGTTATCAATTCTCTGTGACCGTAGGCAAGGCACTCCCTTACACAAATCCATCCATTTCATATCTACTTATGGAGTAGCTTCCCTGTGCCAGATTCCCTACTCAACACTAGCGTTGACAGTGGGTGTGAGACAGACACCATCCCTGCCCTTTCCTGGCCTTAGCTTTCCCTCCCACAAAATCATTCAGCCCCT